TATACATGTTTTTTATAATGATTGAGTTGTTTTCTGTTATTTTTATATTGGGTTGTCGAAAAAGTCATGACATACTTTTTTGGTTTTTCCATGTAAAAATGCATCATAACTTTTCCAATGATCCAATAGATATCTTTGAGTTTTATAGTTTAAAAAAGATAAAGCTTGAGGGAAAAAAATCAGATCTACTCATTGCAAAAGTAAGGGTTAATAAGTATTCCGTGATTACTTTTACTACAACATTGTCCAGGTTCCACCAATGCTAACTCAAAGGTCTATTGACAGTCCTGATCGCAGTATTTTGCATTCTTAGCCATTAACATGTACTTGATATTTTGTATCGTAACATAAGGCTTCAGGAGCCAGGCTGTGGTGCAGTAGTAATGCAACTGGACCGACATGTGAAGGTCTCGGGTTTGGCTCCCAAGAGTGCCCTAAGATGCTAGGTGTGCGAGCGTGTGTGCATGCTTGTGCTTCGTATATCCATGATCCAGACTGGTTGAGACTGAGGGAAAAACCCCATCAGGGGAAGTGATTATCTTACTTTCTCTTTCTCTGTATTTGTCTCTCATGGAAAGAAATGAATGTATAAAGTTAATAAAAATAAGACTTTGGTTTGCCTATGCTCTAATTTCAATTTTAGAATTTATTAAATAAATAGTTATATTTTTCACTGGTTAAAAACAATCTTCAGAAGAGAATAAATTATAGAGGTGAAGAATAATGCAGGAGAAAATATAACTTTATATGAGTATTATAAAAATGAGGCTGTCAACATTTAATATCTTTCAATAGATAGACTGACATAATGGTGTAAATCTACTGTTGACTTCTTTTTTAGTCGATGTACATCAAATTTTTACATAAAGATTTATTTTTAAACAATTATTTATGCAAGTAGATTCCATTTGAAAGAATTTATATGGAAATTTAATTAAATGGTCAAGTATTTAGACTGAAAATTACATAAAGAGTAAATCACATTTTTATTTTATAAAGTTTCAAAATTATGATTTAAATCATTGTACTATTTTAAGATAAATTATTTGATAGCCACATATGATCAATGTTACTGATATCATAAATTAAAATGAAAGTATACATTTCATTTAGTGATTATATTTATATTTCAGCAGGAAAACTGTTAAGAAAATTAAAGAATGGAATTCTGTCATTTGAGACCACTTGGACAAAATTTCAAATGCTAGCATTATCGATAGACACTACAGGATTCTAAGTTCTCTGAGGCCAATATTCCACCTGGGAAAATAATCCATAACTTTACATATTGTTAAAGGTGTTACATAATAAATGTTCAGTATACAACATATTTAGTACTCATTCAGTAAATTATACTCATGGTAGTAATAGTGCTAAAAATGCTTAATTAATGTAAGAAAAACTGGACAAAACAAAAGCTTCATTTACATCTTCATGAAAAAAGAGTCAATAAAGTGAAACCTTGCAATAAAATTTTCAACTCTGGTGTGGTATTGTTTTATTCATCTTTAAAAGCATTTTGCTTACTTCCCTTTGACAAACTCCTAGTGCTTTACATTATACTTAATTGGTTTTACAACTGCTAAATAATGTCTATTGTAACATCATTTTATTGATGAGATAAGTTGCAAACTTAATGTGGCCTTAATCACCTTCTTCCGAGAAAGTGTTCCCAAATCCTTTGCCTTGTTGCTGTAGCATTGGATAATTAGCTGGAAAGGAGATAGGAAGGTGTATATCAACGCCAATTAACCCCAGCTTCTGATGAATTTAGTAGTTCACAGAAAATCCAGGAAAAATTACCTGTTGTAAGCAACAGAATCTTTTCAAATTCCAGGAATTTTTACATTGAATTATTAATTCATCTTATAGTAATTGAGTCTTTGGTTTTGTTCATGAAATTTTAGTTACATGGAACAGTAGAATGTGAAATAAATAGAATGACAAATTCTTATAAATACTGGAGCAAATTGTGCATTGTATATGAGAGTAAATTTGGTGAATCCATATTTAGAAAGAGGGTTCAGAGGGTCAGCAGGTGGCATGATAGTTAAGGCCCTAGACTCCCAAATGGCCTCCAGTGATTCAAGTCCTGGACCCAGAGACCTGAGAATCACACTGGGTACATAAGTGTGCATGCCCAAAGACACAGGAGGAGAAGGAAGAAGACATTACGGCATGGCCATCCACCATGAGGGGTGATTTTTCATTTTTTCTCTCGCAGTCTCTCTCTCCGGTCTCTCTCTCTCTCTCTCTCTTTCTCCTCTCTCTCGAGTGTATGCACCCTATGATAAAAAACCTAAAAAAAAAAAAAAGGAAAGAAAGAAAGAGAATTCAAGACAAAGATTTTCAGAGGAACTGTTTTTAAGATGAGATCTAAAGGAAAACAAGCCTGCAGAAGGACAAGCAGAACATTCTAGAGAAGGAAAGAAACAGCACAGAAAAAGGCCCTACTCTAGGGAAGACTTTGACTCTGGATAAATCTTGAGAATATAAACAGTTGAGGGCTCTAGTGAGGAAAAAGACTTAGGAGAGACACAATAAAGGCCACGCAAGGATTTCTATAGGATATTAAGTGCAATGAGAAGCTACTGGATAACTTTAAGTAGAAAAAGTTATCTTTGTATTTTCATGTTTAAAATAACACTCACAGCTCTGTGAAAAAGTGATTATAAAATGCCAGAGTACAGGGAAGAAACCCTTTTGGGAGGCTCCTGCAGTAACCTAAAAAGAAGGTGATGTGGTCTTTCTTCAGGAGTTTATTCATCTTGATATGAAAGAATGTTCTTTCTTGACTCACAGCACCACAGAGTAAATGCAAAACTAATTAGATCCTGGAAAGGCTTCTAAAAATGTCTTGCCTGCTCCTCCAGCTGTATCTTGAGTAACGAAGAATTTAAAGGCATTTTTCTCTATCCCTACCTTTAGTTCAAAGAACCTAACTTTCCAGAGAGGAAAAGAGCAATGAAACACATACATAGGTAGGGATATAGATCTCTGGGAATGTGTTCTTATAAAATGCCACTACTTTTTTTTTTTTTTTTTTATTTTGGGAGACTGAAAGGAGAAAGATTTTTACACATGCACTCGCCAGAGAAACAGAGAGAGCTAGAGAGACAGAAAGCGAGAAATCATCGCTAGGGGTGATAACCATACTACAACCCTTCTTCTCCATTGTCCTCTCAGGATCTTAGGCATGCTCGCACACACTCAGGGCGGGAGTTTCAAGACACGGGTCTGGGATTCAAACTGCTGTCAACTACGTGGAAGTCCGTAACTATTACACCATCTGCTGGTCCCAGAACGACACTAACTTTTTTGTGTGACTTCACATTGTTCATTTTGGTTAAAATGCAAGATCTCCCATTCAGTTTTCTCTTGGATTTTCCTTTTTTGCCTCCTTGAGAAGACTAGGTCCTAAGTTGGAGTCTGTTCCTGACTCAGTATCCTGAATCAAGTCACAGACTGTCCTTCGGTTTGTGCTTCATTTAGTAATGTGACATACATAGAGAGACTATAATTTGAAATGTAGCCTGGTTATTGATGCTTACTGCTTGTGTGACACTAGAATTATTATTTTACTGCCCTAAAGATACCATTCCTCACCAGTGATTTGAAAATAAAAATACCTTGTTTTGAGGATTATTGTGAGAATTGATCCACTCATTATAAATTAAATGTCCCAAATTTAGTAGCAGCTGTTATTGTTTTAAATAGAAAGAATATACTCTCTCTTACCTTGAAAGAGCATTCTGAGGTACAAAAACTTTAATTAATAATTTTCTTATTCTTTAATTTAATCATTTAATTACCTTACATTTAATCAGTCATCATTTAGTCAAAGTTCAATTCATCTGAAGCCTCCACTCTTCGAGACACGATTTAAGGCTCAGAGGAAAAATGAGAGACGCCAAGCAGCTTCTGCTCCCCAAGATTGCACAAACCAGCAAGGTTCCTGCAGTGAGGCTCTTGGGATTTCTGAAGCAGAACTGGACATACCCTTTCTAGAGCTATTGGAGTAATCATATAAGATGATCACCGGAAGTAAAGGGTAAGAAACAGATATTTTAGACCAAGGAAAAGATCTGAAGAAAAGTGAAGGGGCCATTGCCAGCAGATTATATTTTAGAAAGCTAAAAACAGTGAGAAAATATGCTTCCTTGTGTTTCCTAATTCTGTTTAGATTGTATTTGAATTTCCCCAATTCCATTCTCATATCAGCCCTGGAAAGTATGTTTTTGTTTTTATCTTTTTCTGGTCTGTCCTCAGTGGCTACGGGTAATATACTGAACTGCAGTTCAGGAAGCCACATGGCTGGCCGTGGGTTCAGATCCCTGGCCCAGTCCGTCTGAAACACAGAGAACACCCATATGCATGCCCAAGATCCTGACAAGCCAGAGGGCTGGGAGATGGGAAGCAGGAGGTGGCAGGACCCTATGGAGGGTACTTCTCTCCCTCTCCTGTGCTTGCTCACATGTTCTCTACCATAAGAAAAATAAACTTATTTTAAAACTTTGCATTTTTTAAACTTTCTAAAAAGTTTACTCACTCATTTCTTCCATGAGCGAGAGACAGAGAGATTTCATACCACTATCCACCCGTCAGTCTCAACCAGACCAGCAGCTAAGGACCATGTGCACTCATGCTTCGTATGCTCAAGGAGGTTCTAGGACACAAACCTGGGACACGTGGGTCTAGTTGCACTGCCAGTGCCCCATTATCTTATCTGGAAAATACGTGCATTTACACCAAACTTGCAAATTAAAAAAATTTTTAAAAAAAAGGAAGCTTGGAAGTTTTGTAAACGATGAAACTAGATGGAAGAATTATATTAAAACCCTAATGTGGGTAATCTAAAGAGTATTTTCCATAGTCTTTCTATTATACCAGTTTGTCTTATTTTTCCTTTCAAACCCAACTTTATATCTAATCTATAGGAGAGAAGTCTTACTCAGGAAACAAATCCTTACAATCATAATTGTATGTAATTTTTTTACCTATTAAGCGTGAATTCATTAGAAGCCTTTCTCCTTGTTGGTTGGTGTTCTTGAAACAAGGTTGGATATCGGGTGAATGTCACACTTTGATCTCCTCACACAAATAAGGGAGAATGCCCGCTACCATTTGTTTGTGCACTTTCGGTGTTATGGGGGAAATTATCCTTCTTATCCTCAAGGCTTTTCTATAGAAAGACACTCTACCCGGTACAGAAGCTCCTTAACACATCCCAGATTAACCCTGAAGCGATGAAGTGAGTTTCCCCAGGACTCCTGTTTCATTGCTTATCCTAAATGGAGTGTAATGGAATGTAAGCAGCACGGGGCCTTTTGATTCTCTCTGCTAACATGGCATGTAAATTCTCATGGCTCTGTGCCACTGTATTAGGGGAAGAATTTTGCTCATCTAAGGGCTCTCAAGACTTAACCAGCAATCTGTGTTTTGTTGAATTGTTACTCAACTTCAGAAAGACAGTTTACAATATGATTAGGAGTTAAATTATTATCACCATTGCCACCCCATCTATCCTCTCATAGACATAAAAATCCCATAAGTCATCCTCTCTACGAGAAGTCAAAGGAGCACTAGGGAAAACGCTGTTGCTGGAGCCATTTGAACAATGACTGTAAAAATAACATCTGGTCCTTGTTTTCATGCTAAATGTGTTTTTTAATTCACTGCAGGGGACACCACTGGCAGCAGTCAATGTAATTTATCTAAATCTTTAATACTCAGTGTTTTATTCAGGAACAGAAATATATTTGCTTTCTAAAGAGCATCAAGAGTAAATGTTAAGGGATTCTTTTTAATATTGAAGGATTATGAGCAGGTATTGAAGCAATCGATTGAGAATATGTAACTATCCATCATTGCCATCATTAAACAGAATTGCCTTCTGTTACATAAAAAGGGATTATGTGTATGTGGGTGGGCACATTGATGCAGGCATACATTTATAAGTATAAATATTAGCAGGTTGTAATACATAAGAAACATCAAAGACACTGCCAGATATAAAAAGAACCATTTAAGAACCTGAAAAATTCCACAAAATAAATACATGGGATATAAAGTTTCAATGTGAGAATACGACTTATTTCCTACTGATTTCTTTCACAAGAAGGCTGCTCACATTATTCTTACCTCAATAACATTTTCCATTAGAGAAAGGGGAATTTTCAGATATGCTCAAATTTCTCTAGAATTTTAAGCTTTTATATAGGCCTCTTGATTCCTTATCTTTCTTATGAATTTTCAACACAAAATCTCCTAATGACATCTTTCTCTTTACCATAAATAGACTAATTGAGCATTAATTCTAAATGACTTTTCTCTTGTTCTGAAATGCCTTCTTCCCTTTTCCCTATCAACCCAACTCTATCCATCTTTCAGGGAGAAAGAGAGCTCATGAAAAGAATGACGTCCATTGTTGGTGTGTATATTGAAGTACACAACATATTTTAAACACTTAGCCATAGTCCAGATACTGGGAGGACCTGAAGCTGAAGGACTTTTCTTGGTAGTTAAGCATAAGGAGAAAGAACTAGTAAATGTGAAATCACAAGAGCAGGAAGGAGAAAGTACAGCCTGTCTAGGAGGAAGTGGAAAAAGGATTTCAAGTTAGCTGCATGAGGATCACAAACATGGGTTCAGTTTTTATTTATGAAAGAATCTTTTTTTCTTTCTTAATTTCCCTCAAATCAAACCTTACACATCTAACAACTCTTATAGGTTTGGGCTTTATTGCATACATGCACAATTCTATAATAAATTTAAAATTATAGGTAAGCCAAAAGAAAAAGTCAAAAATTGACCAGAGAAAGCCCTTGTTAACACTTGGTAGGATGTATTATTTCTCAAGCATGTATTTGCATATGTGTATGTGTATAGTATCTCATTATGCAACTTTTTAACCTGAATTTTTAAACAATATTTTGTATATATTTGCATATATTTTATAATGTGATCAAGTACTTTTCTGTATTTGCTCAGGTTACCTTTAGACAATTTGACTTCAAATATATTATGTATCCTATTTCCTTCTGTTTTTTTGTTTTGTTTTTTGTGTGTGTTTTTTTTGTTTGTTTTTGTAAGTTTTGTTTGTTTGTTTTTTGTTTTTTGGGTTTTTTTTTGTTTTATTATTTATTTATTTATTTATTTATTTATTTATTTATTTTTTCTATGGGGCAAGTAAGAGACAAAGACAGTAAGAGGAAAAGTGAGAAATCACCTGCTGGGAGAATTGCCATTCCACAATCCCTTCTCCTCCATTCTCTTCTCAGGATTTTGGGCATGCATGCACACATGCCTGGTGTGATTTTCAAGCTGCCAGGTCTGGGACTTGAACTGCAATTGACCATATGGGACTCCAGTGCCTTAACCACCATACCACCTGCTGGCCTTTCCAGTTCCCTTCTTTAAAAAATGGTAAGTGTAGGAACTAGCAGATGGCATAATGGTTACATTTCCAGACTCCCACATAGTCAACTGCAGTTTGAGTCCTGAACCTGGTGGCTTAAAACTCTCGCCAGGCACATGTGTGTGCATGCCTGAAGACCCAAGAGGAGAATGGAGGAGAAGGGATTTGCATATCCATTCCCCATGGGGGAGTGATTTCTCACTTTTTGTCTCTTTCTTTCTCTCTGGATGAGCACACATACCTTATAACAAAAATCTCTCTCTCAAAAAAAAAAAAAAAGAGATAAGTTTATGTGTAATTAAAAAATGGTTTCTGTGAATTCCTGGATAAAAGTCACCATGTGCAACAACATTGAAAAAAAAATGCTATTGAGCACTTGCATTTGCCAGAGAAAGACACACAGAGAGAGAGAGAGATAAACATATATATATATATATACATATATATATATAGAGAGAGAGAGAGAGAAAGAAAGAGAGAGAGAGAGAAAGAGAAAGAAAGAAAGAAAGAAAGAAAGAAAGAAAGAAAGAAAGAAAGAAAGAAAGAAAGAAAGAAAGAAAGAAAGAAAGAAAGGAAGGAAGGAAGGAAGGAAGGAAGGAAGGAAGGAAGGAAGGAAGAGAAAGAAAGAATGGCACTTGCCACAGTCCCTTCTTCATTCTCCTTTTGGGATTTTTGAGCAAGTCTACATGGGCCCAGGCTGTTTATCAAGCTGCCAGATCTAGTTCTCCAAATGCATAGTTGGTCATATGGGATCCAGCCTCTTTAACTTCCACTCCACTGGCTGTCCCTGTACAATATCACTTTTAATACTTTTTTAATATCCCATGGATATCCTCAATATATGTGAGTGTATCTGGGTATACTATACTTGACTTTTACTAGGTTATATATTTTTGTAGCATTTTATATTTAAGCATTTTAACTACTGTAAAGGATAATACTTTGTCTTCTAACAAATAATATTTATTCTCTTTTTAATAGTCTGAATAAGTTCTTAGATTCAATTTCCAAATAATATTTTCCAGATCTCAATTTCCATTAAGATTCTAGTACATTTTCTTTTGAATACCAAGATTGTTACCTATGAGAAGGAAAAGAAATAAAATAAGGATATTTTATTGATTCTATTATTTAGAAAGCTTAAAATAAAATTCACAAATATAAGTATTAATAATATAAGTGAGTAGAGACAAGGAAGAAAAATTTGTTTGCCTTGTTATAACTTAATAGTATTTTATAGAAGGTCTTAATTCCCTAGGATTCATAGGTAGACCTGGAATTTGGGTAGTCTCCTGAAATTATTTATAAAGATATATGCAGAGGATTGAGTGGACTGAAGAAGCTAGAGGGAAGAATAACACACAAGAAAGGGAAAAACTTTTTTACACACATTACAGATTAAACTTTGTAAATTTAATATCTTCTGAGTGGCATTTATTTCGTGTCAGTAAACTGGGAAACTGAAAATGCCAACTTTATATATGCCTGTGGTGTCGTCTCCTAGAGATCTCCTGTACTGTTTGTTTTGCTTTGTTTAATCTTTTTCCATTCAGCTAGGCTCTTTCAAGCTTAGTTTATTATTCCAAATTTCAGTGAAGATGCCTTATTTGCTTAGTGTTTTTGATATAGTAAGA